TTTCATATTTAAGAACCTAGTTAATTTAGGACCCAATTCAATGTACGTCCTTATTTCATTTGTATTTACGACCAAAATATAATATAAATAAAATTAAATTAAATTTTAATATACAGTAATACCTCGCTTTACGCGGTCAATTGAACCCACGGAGGCCCGCGTAAAGCGGGAAACGCGTAAAGTGAACAACAGAACATATGGGATTAATTGAAATAGAGACCGGGCCGACCCCCAAACTCCACTTTTTCAGACACAATACCTATGTTGTAGTAAAAATAACTTCTTAATTTTATGATGGTATGCACACACAATTAATAATTAAGAGAAATATCAATAATATCAGATTTTTTAACACTTACATTAGTAGAAAAGATGGCTGGGCACACGGGGATGGGGGGTTGGTTCCGAGGCAGAGGGCAGATTATTGGCCCTCACCTGTGTCACTTGTATCAATTGTATCACTATCCACCACAGAGGCTTGCAGGGCCTCTTTGTCAAACCCCTGAAAGTCCATATAAGTCCATGTCCTCACTATCACTGACTTAGGCTGGCTGTAGTGGGTGGCAGGTGAAGAACTCGGTAATGTTTTGATGACTGGGTGACCTTGTGCGCACCCTGCCCGCGCCGTTCCCGTGTATATGAGTAGATGCACCGCGTAAAGTGAACATTCCGGTTCTGGCGGGGTACCGCGTAAATGTAGAAACGCGTAAAAAAAACCGCGTAAAGCAGGGTATTACTGTAAATAATAATTAAATCCCAATATGTATTAGAAAAAAAAATTACTATAAAAAATATTAAGAGCTGCCTTGCTAATGAGTGGTAAACAACAGTCAGAGCTTGACGGTCCTTTTGTTTTCATGCATCTGGAACAGGAACAGGAGAAAAACTTTCTCAGGTTTCTTACAGCATTTTTGCATCCCTATTCAACATGAGCAAGAGAGCAAGTGATGGTAGTGTTGTTTCAAAAGCTAATAGAAAGTGTATAAGCTTAGCCGAGAAACTAGATGTGTTAAAACGATATGAAAAAGGTGAGAGGTCTGTGGATATTATATGGAGCAAGCAATGAACATATTTTCTGAAATGGATCCATTAACAGAACAAAGCATTAAAATTTAAATAAACGCAAATGACCTCTACATAAAGATGTATAATGAGAAATGAAAGCAGCTGTGCAAGGTTCTTTTGACAGCTTTATTATTCGAGGGCCTAAACCATCAACTTCAGCTACACCACCAAATTCAGCATCATAAGCAGCTTCAACATCAGGTTCATTAAAAGTTTCAGCAACAGCTTTATGGAAAGCTACAGCTTCAGCTAGAGTTGAACCTGATGACTTCGTCATCTGAGTAAAAACTCACACAACATCATTGGCTGTCCTTATGTTTTCGACTTTACCACTATTGGTGAGTAGAATTTTTGTTTTACATTCGTAAATATTATTTAAAACATATATGAACAGTAAATAAGTGTTGCTTTCATATTCATATGTAGAGAAATGACGATATGTTTTCACATGTACGCACTAACTGTTCATACGTTGGCGTTCCCAATCATCTCGCCTTATTTCTTTACCATTAGAGGTTAGCTACTTCTAGTGTTCCATTTATTAACATTAAATAACATTACTTAAAACATACATACAGGTATTCAATTTTGTGAAATTAAGTTCACTACAGCTACAACCAGGGTCTTATTTTCTTCAGTTTCTTATGTAGAACCATCGTCACTCACGAAAACAATGCCGTCTTGTCTCCTCGTGTGTGTTTTAATATTCTACGTATCAATGAATTGCATTGTTCATTTCACATATATAAACATTAATTCAATCAAATACATATTCAGTAATGAACAATAATGAATCTTTTGTACATATTCTTAAGATAAATGACTATGTTTCCTTGAGTGCGCACGTACTGTATACATTGGCGTTCCACTATCAGTCTCACTTTTTCTTTAATGTCAGAGGTTACTTCTACTGTACATTAAATAACATTAATTAAAACATACATATTATCTTACATTAATTTTACGACAACAACAACCAGGGTCTTATTTTCTTCAGTTTCAGGTGGATAACTGACATTATGGGTGTAAACACTGACAACGATGCCGTCTCTTATCCTCTTGTGTGTTTTATTATTCTACGTATTATTAATGAATTTTATTGTTCATTTCGCATATACTGTATAAAGATTAATTCAATCAAATACATATTCAATAATAAACAATAATGAATCTTTTGTACATATTCTTAAAAAGACAAATGACGCGGTATCCTTAAATGTGCAAGTATATGTTGGTGTTCCCAATTCATCTCTTTTTTTCTTCTTTGCCATTACTGGTTAGCTACTTCTATTGTTCCATTTATTAACATTGAATAACGTTACTTAAAACATATACAGTAGTACCCCGCTTAACGCGGTCAATAAAACCCACAGGGTACCGTGTTAAGTGAAAACCGCGCTAAGTGAACAACAGAACATATGGGATTAAATGAAATAGAGACCAGCTGACCCCCAAACTCCACTTTTTCCAACACAATACCTATGTTCTAGTAAAAATAACATCTTAATTTTATGATGGTACATGCACACAATTAATACTTAAGAGAAATAGAGAAATACAGTCGCCAAGTTAATGTCCATTCAAATAATGGACTCAACTCCCTCCCCCTCTTCTCACACTACACTCGCTGGCTCTTCCCTCTCTGAGAAATTTTGGGGGGAAAAACCACTAAAATTT